CTGTTGTTTTAACTTCTTGCATTTTACAAGTCATTGCACCACTGCCATGTTCATCAGGCCTCTCTGGGAGAGGGCTTCCTTGGACTTTGTCAAATCATTGACTCTGTTTTTGCCCTTTATCTCAAAGAATGTGTGCTAGAATACTTAATGTTGTAGCAGGGGCTTGTCAGATCACTCACTAAAAACAGAGTGTGACTCAGTCTGTTCCACTGCTGGCTCTGCCATTTCCTTTCTAAGATGTGTTAAATTGCCATATAATCAAGAAATCATGGATACTAACACCAGCAATTTCATTTGTGTGGGACACAAGTTGGGCATGTAGCATAGTGATATGTAGTTTTTGAATTCCAAACATAATTTAAAAAAAGTATTACAGCACACAATAAATGCCTTTGCAGGCAAAGGCTCTCAGCAGGTGGACTAATGAGCTGTGTACATGGAAGGAAAGACACCTGCAGGACAGGTGCACAAGAGGGACATGCTTGGCCAGCACTCCCTGCTTTGTATAATAAAAGAATGAGTGCAGGCCAGGTGTGGTGGCATACACTTTTAATTCCAGCTCAAAAGGCTCTGAGCTCTTTGAGTTGAAGGCCATCAGGAGTTATAAAGGGAGACTCTTTGTCAAAAGGAAAAAAAAAAAAGTGAATTCTCCAGGTCACTGCAGCCCCTCCTGTCTCCCTTAATATTGAAGAGTAGAAGACTGCCCATGTCTGATAAACACAGAGAGTCTGGTGAATCAAAGCCTTTATTGTTTGGAGTGGGATTTTTCTCATTTCCTAAAGACAGATGGTGGGCACAAGTGGAGATAGTTCATCATTAGCCGGTCCAGAGAGCATTTGGCTTACCCAGAAGGTGGAAGAGAGAATTATAATGTGACTATTACCCATATAAAAATAAATAAAAGGGGGCAGAAGGTGATAGAGAGATCCACTGGCCCAGCAGGAAGCAATCATCTGAGTAAGGACTATGAGGGCCACTAGACAGCTCTAAGAGCTAAAAGTGGCTCACGACCATCAACTATCAAGTACAAAGGCTCACAGAAAAGGAAATAAAAAAACACTGTTGGATGACAGTAATAAGACTGTTTTCATGGTCCACCTGTTCCCGCTATTTTTAGTGAAGCATAAAGCTGTACATGCAGTATGGAAAATGCAAATGCTATACAAGGTGGAGATGTGCAGAGTGAGAATACTAAGGTGTTGATAATGCTGAGGTGTGAAGGCTAAGGTTGCTTCTGAGGTGTGAAGGCTACGAGCATTGGAAGATAGTGCTTGTATGATTTTTACATCCCTGAAAACTACATTGACTGTGCCCATTGCAGTCAGATGCCTGCCCTCTGCCCACAGTGCAACCTGCCTAGCTTCCCTCTGGTCTGGCCTTACCTCTCTTCTTTCAAAGTGGAGGCTGGGATGTGGACCTTAACCACCTTACACAGCGCTATCATAAAGCCAGTCCCCAAGCCAGCAAGCAGTCTAACATACTATGGAGGACATTCCAAACTGCAGATATTTGGGCCAAGCTCTGAGCCAGTGGATGCAGGTACAAGGATACTTCAGTGTTGCACCCAGGAAGAATTTCACTGCTTCTGGGGATCTCTGACTAGCAGTGGGACCTCTTACTACCATGCTTTCAAAAGGACAACTTTTTTTTTTTTTTCCTATTCTTTTGTGACCAGAGCCTCACATTATTTCTCATGCTGGTCTGAAACTCAATATGTAACCCCGAGTGCTGAGATTAATGATGGGAGCCGCCATTCCCAGATTAAAAGGACTACTTTTTAGAAGCAGTTTATAGATAATTCTGTGTCCTAGCTCATTTTTTAAATGTATGAAAGAAACAAAAACAGCAACATTTGACCTTTAAAAAAAAGTATATCCCAAGCAGTGATGGCACATATCTTTAGCCCAGCACTTGAGAGGTAGAAGCAGGCAGATCTCTGAGTTTGAGGTAAGCCTGATCTATAGAATTAGTTCTAAGACAGCCAGGGCTACACAGAGAAACCCTGAATCAAAACAGAGGGTGGAGAGAGAGAGAGAGAGAGAGAGAGAGAGAGAGAGAGAGAGAGAGAGAGAGAGAGAGAAGAAAGCAAGCATGTCACATGTCACACTCTTATGACCCCAGCTCAGGGGACAGAGATGAGGATCACAGGTTTCAGCCTGGACTACATATTGAGTGAGACTCTGTCTAAAACAAAACAGCCAACAAAATGGCTCAGCTGGTAAGAATTCTGAAAATCCAGATGGTGGAAGAAGTTGTCCCTTGATCTCCACAGGATCGCCATTGTAACTGTATACAAGCACAAAATAAATGCAGGGTGTTTTTTTGTTTTTGTTTTCTAGACAGCGTCTTTTTGTGTAGCTTTAGAGCATATCCTGGCACTCGCTCTGTAGATGAGGCTGGCTTCGAACTCACAGAGATCCGCCTGCCTCTGCCTCCCGAGTGCTGGCATTAAAGGCATGTGCCACCAATGCTCAACTTAAATGCAGCTTTTTTAAAAAGTGAATTTTTCTTAAAAAAAAAAAAAAAAAAAAAAAGGTGTGGTGGTGCACACCTTTAATCCCAATATGCAAGAGGCAGGCAGATTGCTGAGTTTATGGCCAACCTGGTCTAAGCAGTGAGTTCCAGGCCAGCCATGGCTACAGAATGCAACCCTGTCTCCAAAGCCAAAACATAACAAAAATATAAATAAAAGGTATGAAAGCATTTTAGCATGACAATTGGGGAACCATAACATTTCCCCAAGACTTCAAAATAGCATTCTGCTTACCAGCCTCTGTAAATGTCTCTAAGAGACATATTGAGGTATCTCAACAGTTTTTTCTTTTCTTTTCTTTTTTTTTAAAGATTTATTTATTTTTAGCCAGGCGTTGGTGGCTCACACCTTTAATCCCAGCACTCGGGAGGCAGAGACAGGCGGATCTCTGTGAGTTCGAGACCAGCCTGGTCTACAGAGCTAGTTCCAGGATAGGCTCCAAAACAATACAGAGAAACCCTGTCTCGAAAAAAACAAACAAACAAAAAAAAGATTTATTTATTTTTATGTGCATTGGTGTTTTGCCTGCGTGTATGTCTGTGCAGCATGTGTGTGTAGTGCCCTCAGAGGCCAGAAAGGGGAATCAAATCCCCTGAGGCTGGAGTTACAGACAGTTGTGATCTACCATGTGAGCTACCACTGAGCTATCTCTCCAGCCCCTTAATGGTCATTAAGGAACCATGTTTTTTGGTTTTTTTTAATTTTTATTTTTACTTTTTTTTTTTTTTTTTCATTTTTGAGACAGTCTCACTATGTAGCCCAGGCTTGCTTCAAACTTTTGATCTTCCTGCCCGAGAGACTAGAAATGTATGGCACCATAACTGGTTAAAAATGAAATTTTGTAAAAGCTAATATTGAACATCCACTTAACTTATTTAACCCTTAGAACAGCTCTCTGAGGCACATTTTACAGAGCCCACATCACTTGTCTGAGAATATAAAGCACTGAGGAGAGCATTGTGGGATGCTGCCTTAGGGGTCCTGTCACCTCCATTCCTTCATTCTCTGAGGGTGTTGATTCCTGTCTGTTGACTAACCTCAGGCAGAACTGTAGAGAGAGGTGTTTTGAATTATGTTGGCTAGATTATGTAAACATGCCTGTGGAGAAACTTTGGTGGCTGTGTGGACAATTAGATGATGAATTCTGAAAAGGACCTTTCTGAATTAGAGCATGGAACATAGGGACCCCTTTGAATGTTACTCACATCTGTGTATCAGGGCTGAGTGGCCATAACTCATCTTACTCCCTTGGTTAGTTCATTTACCAGTAGAATCTGTCCAGGTGTGAGTCTAGTGTTCCCAGCCTGGGGTCCAGTCCCCCTCAGCCAGGAACACTTTATGCTGTAGATACTGTGCATTAAGTGTGTGTTGTTACTGGCTTCTTGTTTGTTTGTTTGTTTTCAGTTTTACTGAGCACTGTTAAAAGCCCTGGTAACCCAGGACAGCCCTGTCCCAGGACTGTGATCACGGCCAATAGCTCAGACAGAGTAGCCACATTCTTCCTCCTCCATGATTCACTGGCTTTAGGTTTAGGCATGAGCCTGCTTGTCTTTGTGAAAGTTGAGTAGAGACACTTAAGTTCTGCCCTCAGGAACAGACAAACACTTTGTTTAAGTCAAATTACATTACAATTGCAATGCAAGTCTGGGGCACCTCAAGTCCACAGAGAACTGCTTGCCTGGGCATCACTTCTTTTCATTAAGAACTCAGCATCTTTTCTTGGTTAGAGTGGCTAGCCGAAAATCAAGTCCCATTTGTCTCTGCATTGTGCTTAACTAAGACCTTCACTTTTGACTTTCCCTTCCTCTCCAGAAAGGACCTAACTGTGAAATACCCTGGAGACCTCCCCATCACCCTTCCAAATCTGCTGAGGTTCATTCTGCATCACTCAGACCCTGCCTCGGCCCCTCAGGACTTTGACATCAGCCCTCCTACCCAAGAATGTGTCCAGAACGAGGCAGTCCTACAGCGTGAACACATCTCTCACGTGGAGAATACCATGCAGAAGCTAAGGTCTGAGATGAGCAGCCTACGCCGTACACAAGAGAAGGTGGAGGGCCGGCTCTTTAGTGCCCGCAGGGATGGGCACCGCCTGCTACGCCGTCAGCGTGCTCTGGAGCAACAGCACAGGTTGCTCCGTCGCCACAGTCAGAAACTGCAGGCCCTGTATGTGCAGAAGGCTCGTGAGCTCCAAGAGCTGGCCAGTGCCTCAGAGACTCCCCTCCCTGAGCACACATGGCTCAAGATCCTTCTGGCCACTATGGAGAGGGAGCTGGAAGGCCAGGGTGGAGCTAAGGAATCAGCCCCTCTGGAAAAGGCTCACCCCAACCACTCTAAGTTACCTGGTGACACCCCCCCACCTTCTACCACAAGCTCCACTCTGGCATCAGAGAGGAAGCAGGAGAACAGGACAGACTAACTTTTGAATGAGATGAAGGAATCAGAGGTGAAAACTGTACATTGGGAATATATTTATGCAAAATTTTATTGAAATTTATTGTAAATAAAGATTTTCTCAGTGGTCTAGAAAATGAACTTGAATGTCATTCAGCATTATTGATCAGGAATGGCATCCCTTCTCTTCCACTTATTGCACAAACTTGGTAGCTTTGAGACACAACATTAGCACAGTCCATTTGAAGATTTATCTAGGAAAGTCAGTCCTTGCTTCAATGGCTGAGACTCCAGGTTACTGCCTGCTCCCCAGGATGAAAGGCTGGCTTCCTACTCACCAGAAGACCTCACCACAAAGGTTGCACTATTGAGAAAGCATCTGAAGAGAGGTCATAGCTTATTAACTGTTGGAGTGTATGCCCTGGTGTACAGCCAGTGATAAACAAAGACAGTTCACTAGTCCTATTGGTGTTTCATTTTTCTCCCTAAGACCTCTACCAGCACCCAACAGTGCCTGAACTTAATTGGCAATTCATCCCACTCTTGATGGTCTGACTCAAAAGCCAAAGACATCCCTGGCAACTGGAAGGAGACAGGAAGCACCCCAAAAGTGTAACTGATAAGAATGTGGTGTCTGAAAAAGAGAAATGTCATTGGCATAGTGAAAGCTGCAACCTGTGTCTTGACAGTGGAGTGATTTGAGCATTTCCAGGAGCCAGGCTCACACTGAAAGCGTAGATCCAAGCTGTTCTTGCATCTATGGATGGTGGAGCTAAAGGATCAGCAGTGTAATAGGTTGCTGGCTGCAAGGGGAATTAGAGGTAGAAAGCTAGAAGTGGGGTGGGGATGGGTCAAAACCCTCAGCCTCCAGGGCAGATTCCTTTCATACCATCTGTTCCCCTCCTAAACCTGAAAAATCACTGCTTCCAGGTCCTACATGCATCAAACCAGCCTAAGCAGCCTCTGCCGATGGCCAGTCCATCTGTTACTACCTCTTGCATGACTTAGCTATCTCACCAGGGTCTAAGAGTTTCTTAAGCTGTTCTTACTGCAGCAGCCCACAGAAGTGTCTTATTCCTACGTTCACAAATGGCCTTCCTTATAGTTGTCTCTCCTCACCATAACATTTGACCCACACCTCCCTTTGTAGGCATGCACTGCTAAAAAGATGTGTTCCCTATAGCTTCTCCCTTGGGGTTCCAGAGAATGGATTAGTCTCACACACTTTTTAAAGTTGTCTCCAGCCTGGCCTGAAGCTCTCTGCTTCCTGCCCATGCTGCTCTCAAGTGTGCCAGCCAAGCCAGGGCTGGCCACCTAGTCACCACCAAGGATGTGAACACACTCATGTTTTAATCAGAATGCACTTAGAGTGGTGGATTAACATCTAAGCTTATAGGCATGGACTTAAAGGATATCCTGGAGACACATGCTGCTGGCTCCCTGACCTATGAGCCAGGCCCTGAATTTGTACTCCTGGTGGCTCTGTTGTAAATGCATACGTGCACATTAGAAATGATCTTTGGCACATAGTGCCTTTAGAACTGGGGCAGAGGGCTCTATAAAGCTCTGAGGATCAAAGTGAAACCCAGTACCCAGCCAGTGGGCAGTCATTGGAGAGGAAAGGAAGCTCACTTGTGAATAGGTGGGAGGAAAACAAAGAGTCGACCCTACCCCTCACCCCCACTCCAGTGCAGAAAATACTAAATACAAAAACAAAATGTTAGCTTGCTTGGGCCAACTGGGTTTCTGACTTCAAGTAGCCACCACAGGCTCTGGTGTTTCCAGAGGACCAGAGCAGTTTCTACAAAGCCTGTGCCGAAGGGATGTACTGGGCATGCTCATGAACAAAGGGCAAGAGACTGCTCCGCTAAGCTGCCTGGCAGCCCTCAGGACTCACGGGGGAACTCGTCTGTCCGTCACAGGCTTCCAAACAAGTACAGCAGCTTCCTTGCAGTCACTGCCATCTGCACACACTGCTATTTAACAAAGCCGAAGCGATCAAAGGGAAGGGGCGTGGTCTTTCTTCTACCCATTACTAACCAAGCAGAAATCACCGGAGCACCCCAGCTGCTTAGCCTTTCACTTCCTTTCCATACACACAGATAAGACCTTAGTGAGCCCTGCCAAGGGCATCTGGGGCCTGACCAGTCAAAGACTCTCCATGGTCATGCCTCAGCCCACCATGAATACAGTCATCAAGCCAGTCCCACGGGCTCTATGTGGTAGTTTTAAAAATCAGCAAAAAGGCTTAAGCACGTGCTTCCGGGCCTATTTACAGTTCACAGGTTGGTTAGTTCACGCATTACAGTAGTAGCTCCATCAAAAACAGGCTCAGCTAAAACATTCAAGTAACAAAAGCGCTAAGGGGCCACGAGCAAGGTCAGGCCTGCCCACTGCCTGCAATGGGCAGCCCTACCAGGACAGCCGGGACCCGCAGTCAGTGCATGCGATGATGAAGCCCGAAGAGACCATGCCAGCAAGTGTCAACCCCTCTCATACAGCATCATGTCTGCTTCTGCCCTCTCAGTGCTTCTGGGCTGGCTGCAAACGGAACCAGGGCCTTCGCAGCCCAGCTCAGCCATGCACTTCTGGGCCATTGGTGGTCATCAACTTGGCCTTTCTTTCCACGCACGGCCCCTTGGCAGAGTACTGCACCAGTAGAAAGGGCTCCTTTGTCTCGCCATCACCCACGATGCTCTCCTCATCCTCCGACTGGCTGATGCGCTGCAGCCGCAGGTAGCACCAGCAGCCCAGGATCAAGGCCCCCAGGGCAGCAATGGCGATGAGGATGACAATGACCGTGACCACCCCCGTAGTGGGGCTGTGGTCCATAATAGACATGGTTAGTGCTTGGAGGGGCTTCTCTGGTGCAAAGTTCTTGGTGTGGCTGGCTCAACGAGGCTGGAATTCGGGCTGCACAGGACAGTCCTGAAAGACAAAGTCAGGAAAGACTATACAGGGGCTCTGCAGGGGACTATGCAGAGGACTCAGCCACAGGGCCCTTTCTGGGGTCCATTTTTAAGTTCTTGAACTCAACTGGTCTGGCCTTCAACCCTGTGACAACCGTGGGATTGCCTTTCCACTGTGTCTGCCCAGATGCTCACCCAGCCTACTTCCCCCAGCTACTTCTGACACCCAGGTGTTTCCGCTGTCAGCAAGTCACTCTGATGGGAAGGGAAATGGGCACCAGGGCAGTTGAGGCAGGGGCTCCAAGAGGACTAGCCACTAACTGGTTCTTCTGTTGTTTTTTTGTTTGTCTTTAAGACACAGTCTCACTCTGTGGCCCAGGTTATCCCAAACTCATGATTCTTTGGCCTTAGTCTTTTGAGCCTTAGCCACCATGGAGGTGGCTGGAAGTGGCCACTCTAGAAAACAGTACCAGTATGTGTACAGTAACCACTGATCTAGGAAGCTAGAGAGGAAGGATCCAAAAGTAGATAAACAGCATCAGTTCCTCTGTGTGTGTGTGTGTGTGTGTGTGGTGGTGGGGGGGGGTCAGGTAATACATAATGTCTGAACCTTCAAGGTCTCCAAAGTCCGATTATCAGACCCAGGTGAGAGGTCACAATAGCCCACAGCTTTTGCCCTATGGAGCCACAGCTGATCTGTGAAGAACTGGTTTTCAGGAAGCTCGTAGATACAGGACAGGCAAGCAAAAGTAATGCAGCTCCTGAAAGACATAGGTACTGGGGAAAGCTTTGGAGAAGGCAGGAAGGATGGGGTAGCTGGCTCCTGTCTGTGCATAGTTTGGCATCTAGTACAGGAGCCAAATTACCAAGAGGTCAACACTCCCAAATGTCTGTCCAGGTATGGTCACATCAGAAGCACAGAGGACCAGGTGCTGTGGTGCTAACTGCATGGGTAGGTGAGCTTCAGGGAGGCCACACTGGCAAGGAAGAGCATTCGTGGCAGGGGAACAGTACTTGCAGGACTTGGAAGGCAGGAGCGAGAACCTTGGGCATCACCTGTAAGAGTGGCAACAGGAAGTGAGTGCCAGCTGGGTTCAGGTATGCTGAGAGGTGATGCCAGGATAGACAGCTGAAACAACTCCATTTCGTAGAGCCCAGTCCTCCTCTGTAGGAGGTTTTAAGTGGCAAAGGAGAACGAGGCTGTGGGATACACAAGGCCTGTAAAATCTGGACTCCAGTTTCCCTCTCAAACCTTCAGGGCTTACTAAGTGGTAACCCAAAGCCTAGCCCTCTATGGCCCTCAGGATCAGGGCTTTGCTACATGGCTTCCCAGGTGCTGAATCTAGCAAGCTGGCCCAGTGTTATCAAGGTCCCCTACTTTCTTACTAATGTCAGTCAGTAAAGAACATCAGTGTAGTTAGAGGAATGAAGATGCTAGGGGAGTGTTCTGCATAGGCTAGGCAAAACCTCCACTGAACAAGCCTTGAATGTCCAAAGTCTTCCCATCCATCCACGTACAGGGCAGATAGTAAAGGAAGATTCTCCCTCCAAACAGGATAGAACGTACATGCTGCATCCTTGAGCAATAATCTCCTTACTTAAAAATGATTCAATTAACCCACTCAACCATAGAGGCTACCAGGGTCAGGTCCCCCTGGAGGTCACAGGCAGCCAAATCAATGCCCCAAGTGTCCAGGAACCCAGGATCCAGGCCCCGTGACCAAGCAATACTACCCTCATCACCTGCGCAGACTCTGCAGGGCAGCACCCTCTGACTCTAACCTGAGTCTGAGCTGCCTGGGTCCCACTCGACTGGTTCCCGGTCCACTCTTGCAATCAGAGCACACTAGATGTGCCCAAGTGCTTATGGTGACTGACTGTGTATCCCAATTCTGGCTCAAAGCTCCCCATCTTGTGACCTCCAATATCCTCTCGGCCCAGGCCTTTGACCTCACAATTCCTCCTGCCCAGGATGCTCCACTCCCTGACCTTTGAGAACTAGGTCTCAACTGGGGGCAACTGTGCACCTGACCACACCTGGTAGACAGAGTCCAGAGATTCTGCTCAACATCCTTCAAGTTATAGGACCGCTCCCAAACCTCAACACAGAATAGCCTAGCCCCAAATGGCACCCTCATGGAGGTGGAGGAAAACACTCTGACCTAGTTTACACCAACTCCAGGAAGGAAGCCTCTCCAACCAAAAGGCCATGGAAGCCCCCTCCTTGGCAAGGCCACCTAGCTCCTGGCCTTCCCCCATCCCCAGAGCTGCATGTCCCAAGAGTGCTTGCTCTGCTTGCTCCATAGCCTGGCACTTACCCTGTCAACATCAGTTCCCACAGTCCACGCAGACAGAGCAGATACCCATGGTGCTGCCTCTACCTGCCCTTCCTCCCGTTGTCTTCTGGTCAGGAAGGGGAAGTGTGTGTTTGGGGTCTGGGGTGACTCTGGGATAGCAAGTGGAAAATCAAACAATGGTACCATGATCTGAGGGAAACAGCTGTCCTGGGACTAATGAGGAAACTGAGGCATAATTCTAGCCAGAGGGACCTCAGGAGAGCAGGGATGACCTCAAACTCCTGTCCACTGTGCCTGCCCCAGGCCTGGAGGTGGCCCCAGAGCTCTGACCTCTGAGCATAGATCCCTGACCCAGCTGCCCATGCCTGGCCTGTGGCCTCAGCCTAACCCTGATGGGCTTCTTTTCCTTTTTTTCATTTACCAAGTATTTCCTGAGAAGTGATCATAGCCTGACACAGTGACCTTAGAAGGGGGGACTTCTGAGGTTGTCTCACCCTCTGCTGGAAGCTCAGCAACCACTCATGCCTCCTAAACTGTCCTGTGGCTGCCTCCTTCCTTAGTACTGGACTGGGAACTTTCTCAGGGGTGACTCTTGGGGCTGCTTCTTCCCATGCTGCCCGGCCTGCACCCCCCCCCTTGCACACCCAAGTCTTACCTAGAGCTCTCTGCTCTCTGCAGTTTCCTGGTTTAGGGAGTGTTTCCCTGGCTGTTATCTCCTGACCTGTGACCTCCAGAGAGCCTACGAAAAGGCCAGTGTCCCTCATGTTCACAACCATGCCCCACTGCCCTACCACTCTCACACAGTGGTGCCCAGTAAAGGCTGGCTGAGTGTTCCAAGCCTGGGTGTGTGGTGATGAGTTAAAAGCTACCTCACTCTCAGGGGGATAGTCAGGGCACCCTTGTCCTGAGCCAGCTCCCTTACTCCAGACTCCTCCCAGGTTCCTCAGCACAGGCCCCCAAGCCTGCCAGCAGCCTCTGGGGAAAGAGTTTATAAGCCAAATTCAGGCAGGGGTAAGGCATGGCAGTGGCCTCTAACAGGTCTGAGCCCAAACAGGATCAGCTAACTTGGTCATTTTTAACCTTCCCAATGATATGGTCCTTTAATACAGTTCCTCAGGTTGTGGTGGTAACAACCATAAAACTATTTTTGTTGTTACTTCATAACTTAAGTTTGCCACTGTTATGAAGAGTAATGTAAATATGTGTTTTCCTATGGTCTTAGGCAGCCCCTGTGAAAAGGGTCATTCGACCCCCAAAGGGTCACCACCTATAGGTTAAGAACTGCTGAGCAAACTCAAGGATGGCAGTAGAGAAGCAGATTCTAGAGGAAGCTGGGACGCCCTGCATCTGACTAGTACAACCCTCTGCACACTACTGACCCCCATTTTATCTACTAAGGCCCATGGGTCTGGGCACAACACAGCCCAGTTGAGAACAATCCCAGGACCACTTCAGAGCAATCATGCCCCAATCCCCCTTCTCTCCTCTTTTTTTGCCTTGATCATCCCATTCTGCAGATGAGGAAACTGAGGCCCAGGGTCAGCTAGAGCACAGGTCATACCATGACCCTTGTTGGAAGCAACAGCAGTGACAACTTCCAGGTGAGCACTGGTCAGCATGGGCCCAGGCACTCCACAGCCACCCCAGTTCACAATGCTTCAGAATTGTTGGGCTTGGTTTCTCAAGGCCCAGAGCACACAGGTCTCAAAATGACACATAGTGTGACCTCTGGGCAGGGATCTCCTAAAATTCAGACTCTCCTCTAGGTTTTCCTTGGTGAAGGTCTCTGTTACCCTTACCTCTTCATGGGATCACCCAACTTACCCTTCACCCCACCATTCAAGCTCAGCCCAGAGTGTATGTACATCAAGCACCAGGGCAAGCTGAGTCCCCTCTGTAACCACAGCAGACTGTCCCTGATGACCTCCCTTTTCCCAAGGCACAGAGCCTGGCCTGAACCCAATGTCACAATTAGTCTCTTCTCCAGGGACACCCCGCAGCCTGATCATTTAACTGGGCACATGATGAAGGCTGCTGAACTCGGCTGGACACCACTCTGTCCCCCCACCTGAAGCCTCCACTTCCTGGGGCACACTCCAAGGGAGCCAGAAACATGGTCATGTTTTCAGGAGCTTCCAGCACTGTCCCACCTTCCAATAAAGCCACCTGCCAAGTATCCTCTTCGGGGACCCCAGGCCAGAAGTATTTCCTGCCCCAGGTTTTTTTCTGCCAAATCCCAACAGGCACCATCACCAAGAGCTTGGATCCAGAAGGAGCTATCATCCAGCATGGTTGTGCCTCCTGTCCTCCTACCTTCCACCTTCCCCTCTAGAAACCTGCTCCAGATGCCATCGCACTGCCAGATCTCATGGCAGGAGAGGAAACTAGGGCTGAGAAGTTTGGGGACTGTCCCAGGGTCAGCTGTAGTCTCATAGTCCAGGCCTGAGTCCTGCCCCTCCTGTGTAAATCACTTCAGGGTCCTATTTGGCCATACAACTTAGGTAGGGATATAACAGCAGATGCTGAAAAAGTTCCTTGGTGTCACACTCTTGAGCTCAACATCTCATGTAGATCTCTCCAAAATTTCTGCCTCAAAACAATTCTAGAGTTATTACTCTTCCCACTTGACAAATATGCCTTAGAGAAGTTAAGTCAGCTGCCCAAGGTCACACAGCTTAAAAGTGGATATGCGGTTATTCAATCCAGGCAGCCTGGACCCTAAATAATCGATTTCAAACCTGGTTCTAAAACGTCATCTACCTGACCTGTCTCCTCTCTCCTCTCTCCTGGAGGCTGAGTACAGTGAATCCTGTCTGACTACTTCCTAGGAGCTAGTCTAGGTGACCTGGGCCGAGGACCAGACACTAATGACAAGCGCCCCAGCAGCTCGCGCGTGCAAAGCGCGGGCGGGCGGCGTGCAGGCGCGGTGCCAGGCGACGCCGCGTCTCCCCCACTCTAAAGAAGGAGCAGGCGAGGCGTGAGGGAAGCAGGGGCCCGTTCAAGGGGCGACAGCTGCAGAGGAAACGACAGCTGAAGAAGACAAATCAAGTCTGCCTGAACGGGTTTTTTTTTTGGGGGGGGGGCAGGGCAGACCAGGAGTCAAGCCCACGACGCGCAGTCACTGCCGACCAGGCAGACCTGGGACCAAACGCTGCGGCTCGGCCTCAGTTTCCCCACTGCCGAAGCGGACGCCAGATGGTCCCTGGGCCCCCATCCCCCTTGATCCCATCTTGACCACGTTGGGACGCTGCCAGGAATCTTGTCAATGCTGGGAGTGAGTGTTTCGGGAAGCCCGGAGGATCGGCGCAGGGCACAGAACCCAGGGG